GCTATCTTCCCTAAGACAGTCCTAGCAGTTGGCACATTTAATAAAACCACAGCATGCGATCTCAGGCAGTAGCCACTTACAATTCGCCGTGAGATCAGGGAGCAGATGTAGGATGGAAGTTTCCCTAACATGGCTTTATATATATATGCAGACTTTAGCTCTAGTCTGATGGTAAACAAAGATGCAAAGCCATTGCAACCTCTGATCCAGAATGGGATAATATTTAGTCTTTATTTTTCACTGAAAAGAGGTCTTCTCCCTGTCAACATTACTTTACTAACTTTATTTTCCACAGCTGCTGCTGAGCTCCAAACTCAGAGACCAACAGAGAGACACAGATACATCTTGATCTGCGTTGGAGTGGCAGTTACAGTAACTCTACTGTCTCTCGCTGTCTTCAAACTGCGGCTCACCAAATATCTTTGTAGGAAAAGAAACAACAGTGAAGTGGAACTGAGGATGAGTTCCTCAGATATTGAAGCCCCAGGGACCATTGAAAGTGAGTCTGAAAACCACCTTTTTGAATGAACCATCGGAGCATAGTAAAACAAGACAGAGGGTCTCATCAGGTAGTGATTTATCAGAAAACTACTACTACATTTTGATGTAATGTATATACTTATGTTGTGCACAAACAATGAGTTTTAAAAATAAGTATTATGCTTTTTGCAGTATTTAATATGTCAATGAGTAACCTCATTGCTATTATGTTGAATTCAGCAGCTTTTCAGGAGACAGAAGATCATAAAAAGACGCGTATTGTTGATTTTTAATTGTGTCTCCTTACAGCAGTGAGAGATCTTCATGAACCAGAGACTCAAGCACAGGTAGTCGGGGAAGGTTTGGCCTCTACTTTTCACAGGGACTGACAGTATCAACTCTGCTTTCTTCTCGTTTCTGTCGGCGCCTGCACCCTCACTTTAGAAAACAAATCTCTAGCAAAAAGGATTCCTTATCAGGGAATTTTTATGTTTTTGTTTACTAACAGAGCAGGCTGGATCTGCTGAGGAGAAACAATGGTAATATTCATTAGGAAATTACCTTAGGCATACTTTTTTCATTTTTCACGTATTTTATTTAATTGTATTTCATTTAATTATTTTAATATATATGTGTTATTTATATTATTCTAAGAGACTGTAATACTAATAACTGGCCAGTAGATGTCACTGTTCTACACGTAAATACATATTTATCCCAGATTTATCCTTAGTATTTATCGTCTTCGGTGCTAAGCAGTGGCGCCTGGTGGAAAATATTTTAGGTGAGGCTGTGGAAATGGTGATCAAACAATACTAGGGGGGTCCGGGGGGATGCTCCCCCGGTAAACATTTTTGAGAAAAGACCCCCTAAATCATGACTTCTGGTGATGTTAGAGGGGGGGGGGGGGAAGGACAATTTGAGGCTTAAAAATATGAGAAGACTGATCAATACCTCCATAACTTCAGTGTGGTTAGGTATGAATCTTCCAAAACTTCCAAACACCTTGTCCTGGACATAGTTTCTACAGCATAAACTGTGCAACAGTACAGTAGGCCCACACAAACTGCAGAACACCGGGGCTTTGGGAACACTCAAAATTACTTAAAATGATTTAATTCCCATTTAACCTGTTAAGGGGCTTTTTTCCCCCGTTTTTTTTCTCACGAAACTGTGTCTCAGGGCTTCTTAAAATGTAATAAACTATTCATGTGTCCTACTCAGAGGAAACGCAGCTAACTGATGATATGAATCATGTTTACCGAAACAAAACACAAGTCTCACAAGAAGCGTCTAAATGAGCCCTGAGCGAAAGAAACAATACTTACTAGAAATATAAGTATCATCACTGAGCGATCAGAACTTGCGACAGGGGAAGCAAATACAGACATCACACGACGTAGCTTTAGGTAGCAAAACACGGAGATATGCTCACCTTTTGCAGAATAACAATTCTGATCAAAAACGAGAAAAACGCAGCTGAAGGTTAATCCAATGTGTCTGTCACTTTGAAAAATGATTGATGATCCATAATTCAATTTTTATGTCAAAAACTGAGTTTTCATTAGCTGCTAATGGTAGCTTCCAGAGTGTATGACAGCTTCCTGTTTTGTCTCCTTGGATACGAGTCCAAACAACTCACAGACTGCACCGGGCGCTCACGTAGGAGCCCTGTGACCATCAGATTTGACGACGCTGATTGGCTGAAATTATGTTTCGGCGGCATAGTTTAAAGATAGCAACAGTTGGCTTCTGCTGCACTTGCTGCACTCTCGTCTGGGCGCTGTGCTAGCGCCCAGACGAGAGGGAGTAATGATACACGGGCAAGGCCAGGCAGGAAACATGTGACTTATCAGTAACTTTAGACATCGTAACACAATTTTAAACGATATTTTATTGTAGATTATACATTTGACTGATACCAATTATATAATATTTACCTTGTTTATTAAAAATAAAAATAAAAAATATATGTTTTAAATATATATATATATATATATATATATATATGTATATTTTAATGTGGGAAGAGGGGGGGCGGCGCCCCTAGCGCCCCTATGGGCCGGCCGCCACTGGTGCTAAGGTGTGTGTTGGAAGGAATTATCTGGATGACGTCGATCAAGCAGTGAAATAGGAATGAGGAAATACCTGTTTGGCTATAAAGGGAACTAAAATGTACTGCATTGCTAAAAATAGACAACTATGATGATTCACTTCTAAAAGTTGTGGGAACCAGCCGATAGAAACATAAACAAACGCCTCCTTGCTGAGATTTATGTCATAACGTTTCTTAATTCTCAATTTCTCTGACGCTGTGTTCCTGTGTTATCCTTGAGGCATTTCGCTGCTGTTGATGTTTCTGTTTATTTTGCATTTCTTCAGTCATTTTTCGTCTCTTTGTAGTTTTATCTGGTCTCCTCTGGTTATGTTTTTGGTCATTTGGTTGCTCTCTTTTTGGTTACTATGTCCCTTTTTTCTGATGTGTGAATCTTGTAATTGCATATCGACTTTTCTCTGTACTTTTGCTTCTCTTTTAGGTTATTTTGTAACTTATGTCGCACCTTTTGTGGGTATTTCAGAAGGGGCAGGTCAAATAAGATTTTCTTCTCCCTGCTCCTTTCCACCATAAAAAAAAACAAGTATAAGTGTACATGTTTTGTTTTAAAATAACTGCCATGTGTGGAATAAACAAATAAATAAATACATTAAAAAGAAATGTCAGGTTGTTTTACGTCGCTTTGTTTTACATTTATTTCATAGTTTTTAATCTCTCTAGTTTCAAATGAATACAAAACTCTAAAGAATAACATGTTAAAACTAGAGAATGCAATTCGTGAAGAAATTGCTAGTGGGAATGCTTTATGCTGAAAAGCTGACGCTAAACTGCTATGCTGAAATGTAATGTGTAAGAAGAAAGTGAAGAATTTAGATTGAAATGAAACATGAATACTGGGGGCTTGAATGTGTGATGAGAGAAGAAAAGAAAGTAAAAAGGCTTGGAAAAGCAGCAGAATATTTGAACTGCAAACTTTTTAACTAACTTGATGGCGAATGATCTGTCGCCATGCCAACAGCATATGATGACATTCCATAATATGCTCAGATGCGTTGATGGCTGCATCGTTACCAAACCTGTGAAGTTTTGGGCCGTTTGGAGCATTTTCACTGAAATTATGAGAAAACCGTGTTTCATGGCGAGCATTGTGTTGCCATGGCAACGGCATTTGAAGAAATCTCAAAACTGTCCCGTAGATGTCTTCACGGCTGGACTGTTAGCACACATGTGAAGTTTGAGCACTTTTTGAACATTTTCATAGGAGTTAATGTAGCGACATCGTCTTTTATGGCGAGGGATGCGTTTCCCTTGAAACGGCATATGATGACAGCCCATAATTGATGTAAGGCTGTTGAGGGCAGGACCATTAACCATTATTTGAAGTCTGCTGCTCTGAGCATGTCAGTTGGAGTTATGACATCATCGTGTTCCATGACACAGGTGTTTATATTTGAGCTAACGACGTATCCAGAGATCAAAGGTTTCCATGGTGATGTGCACTAATCAGTGAGAGGAGAGCATTTTCATTGTTCTGAATGAGAGATAAACCTCTTACATGTGAACGTTTTGTTGAAAAACCGTAACAGATATCGGTGACATTTCAAAGCGTGAAGCATGTCAAGGAACTTGAGCATCTGAAGTGTACTTTTTGTGTACTTTCGGGTTAATAATGTGGCCTTTTTGGCAGATTAACTAAAGGTGTGCGGCTGCTGTGGTGGGGAAAGATGAGGCTGAACTTACAATGAGGTTTAATGGAGACATGTTGAACGTTTTTGTCACTTCATGTCCTCAAGAGGCATTTTGTTTAATTTTTTTTGCTTCATTTTTTTAATTTTTCAAGCTACGATATGTTTTCCTACGTTTGTCATTAAAAGTTATGTCTCAGGAATGTAGGGTTTGGGAATTATGGCAGGTTTAAAAGAAAATATGAAGGCAAAATTAAATCTGTCCTCCACTATAGCTGTGACATCATGCACTCTAAAATCTGAAGAAGGCCTCTGTACCAAGGTCTGAACAATGTTTAATATCTCTAAAAGTACGAATCAGATTTAAAAGTTGTGTTACACAAATAATGTCAGAAAGATGTGTAACATTTTAAAGTTGGAATGAGGTTTCTGAGTGAAAGTATGAAGGAGCAGTTAGCAGTTGAAGTTGCATGAAGATTGTTCAAGTCTGAAGAGTTTCTCCATTGACTTTCATGTTAAAAATGTGATGAATTATGGGATGTATCTCTGGAATTATGAAAGTTATGAATAAGAAAAGTAATAGCCATCGATTCCCGATCGAGCTGAACGTTTTGATGTTTGAACGGAGTTTCTGCGATGTTCAATGTGGGAGAAGAAGAGGTGCAAAATAACCCGGCGGAATAATAAAGAATTGTGTGCGTAGCATAACAGATAGTTGGAATGCTGTGTCAGCATTCCCACTAAATGATCCCAGGATGTAAGAAGACAAAGACAACACATCGACTTAAAATATATTTGACATACAAACAAAGTTAACAGGGTTTTCTTTTACAACATGTCTTTACAATCATTATTTTCAAGCTGTAGTTTCTGTCAGGTTCTCACTGTGGAGTAGGTGGATGCCGTGTCAGCATCTAAACAGGAAACACATAAAGACTATTAAACAGCTGTCATTAGGTGGACAAAATAATAGAAACACTACTTCCTTGTCACCTCGAGGCCTTTCAGAAGATTTTTAAGTTTACATTTATTTTATATAATAATAAACAGTTTGAAATTTCATTTAAACATAATGCTTTCATGCTAACAGGAAACAGAGGGGTTTTCCGATTACTTTGAAACTTTTCATGTGCATTAAATCAAATGGCACTCTGTGCAGCATCACCATGATTAAGTGAGATAATGCACAAAATGTAGGATTTAAAATCAGTGAAGGGAAAGGCTGCTTTTATCTTCTATGACTTACAAATAAATAATAATAAAATTAAAAAGAAGTACAAAAATAATGAATTAATAATAAAAAAGAAAGTTAAAACAATAATTAAATATATATTAAAACAATTATAATAATCATAATTTAAAAGCTATTAAACTACATTATTAAATACAACATCCATTTTGAATCAGGCTTTAACCAACGTTTACATTACTGGAAATATATGAAAATGTGCCATATTTAAGGAAGTAATGCCTCATTTGCATATTTAAACTTAACGTATCATAAAACTTTATCTGTAGCATGTCTTATTATGGAAGAAAAAATATTGTGTTAATGTCTGTAATGAAGTGGGGGGGGTTTATGGTGATATCTGCTAGTTACTTGTTGGACACTATTCACCTGCAGTGTCTCACTTTAACACACTAAACAAGGTTTGTTTTAAAGTCATTATATTTACACGTATGTTTCCACGTTGTATTTACATGTTTGTATCATGTCTCAACTCTAATCCATACAAAAACAGAAAGGTAACCTTGGTTATTGTAGTTCATTGAGTTTCTGATAGTAACGGTGAAACTTTGGTTTCCAGCCAACTGTTTTGCATTACTGTTACCATAGTGATATCCAAGTGTGACCCAATAGGAGCGTAGGAAACTGTGAGGGAGCGGGGCTTCCTCTTAAAGCGACAGACAACCGAAACAGAGAGCAGTTTCTCAATGTTACGTAACAGTTTTTATCACGTGATGTTATGCTCTGTATCATGATGTAATTATTATGTCAATAGTGTAGGAACAGTCTAGATCATTTACTTCAGTAATAGTACTAATACTTACGCTGGAAAATACACTTAATGGCACTTAATTTTGAGTATTTAACAAGTGTCCTAAATGAAATAAGAGTACAAACTATATATTATTTTTTATTAATAAAGAAAATGTAAAGAAAAAGCAGCAAATCTTCAAATTTGAGAGTTTTCTAATATTTTATCCCAGAAATAACAAAAAAATGATATTCTTTATCGTTGTTTCAGGTGTGCTCGGGTTTCATGTTAAACATACTACATTACCACTTTATCTGTATCTGTAAGATAGGTAGATGTAAGATTTAAAATAAATATAGGGAAGTTAAAAGTAGAATACCTCTGATCCTGATTGGCAGCCCTTCCTGTGTGACGGTAACATTGGTGTAATCAACGTCTGCTTCATCTTCACCTGTAACACAAACAAGCTGAATTTAACTTTTTACTTGCAGTGACATCACTATGTAACACTCGCGCTTCTATTGGCTAGCGCTCCAACACATTATACGTGAACATCAGCAGGAGAGGACTCTTTAAAGTAGAGACACTACATACTGATATACACCTGAACATCAGCAGGAGAGGACTCTTTAAAGTAGAGACACTACATACTGATATACACCTGAACATCAGCAGGAGAGGACTCTTTAAAGTAGAGACACTAAATACTGATATACACCTGAACATCAGCAGGAGAGGACTCTTTAAAGTAGAGACACTACATACTGATATACACCTGAACATCAGCAGGAGAGGACTCTTTAAAGTAGAGACACTACATACTGATATACACCTGAACATCAGCAGGAGAGGACTCTTTAAAGTAGAGACACTACATACTGATATACACCTGAACATCAGCAGGAGAGGACTCTTTAAAGTAGAGACACTAAATACTGATATACACCTGAACATCAGCAGGAGAGGACTCTTTAAAGTAGAGACACTACATACTGATATACACCTGAACATCAGCAGGAGAGGACTCTTTAAAGTAGAGAAACTTAACACTTTTTTTTTTATGTATTTACTTCATAACCACTTTAAGGAGTTTCCCCGCAGTGAAGTGTTTGTGCAACCTCCTCATATCAAAGTATAGCTGAAACGGAAGAATGCATAATGTTATTTTCTGGAGATGCAGGCTGACCTTTGTGGTTCCTCCAGAGGCCGAGCAGCATCAGAGAGCCCAGCGCGAGGCACACGCCAAACACAGGAAGTAAAACCAGAACAAGGGAGGGGGGGGCAGGCGAATCCGGACGCACTGCTGCTAAACAGAAATACCACAGGTTGGCCTCATGCAGAAACTGAAAGTATACACCATGTCCGAGTGCTTTACAATAAATGTTTAGCAAGATAACAGAAGAATTACTCGCCAGATTTCCCTGAAATTTGGTGTAACGGTGTATCATAGGCCAAGGACAAACACATTATAATTTGGAGTGGATTGAAATGAGGGGATCAGAGATAGTAGAATATGTTTTCTGGACCTTTAAGGCTGATCTCACCTCTGACGGCCAGCCAACTGTCTGGTGATTGTCCACCATCAGAGATGTTACACTTGTAGAGTCCTTCATCAGATTTAGAAACCCTGTGGATGGTGATGTTTCCTGAAGAGCTGCTACTAATGAGGCGGCCATCTTTATAAAAGTCAGCTGACTGGGTGGAGGTCTGGTTTCTGCAGATCAGGGTCACAGATTCTCCCTCCATCACAGGAACAGCAGGACTCTCCAGGATCACAGAGCCACCTGAAGACAGAAACATGTGAAGTAACCAAACAAGAAAAACTAGAAGTTCAGTGTCGTATCCAAAGATTGTTTAATGTATTTAGCCACTGTGGCATCACCTGCTGGTTTGTGGATTCTGGTTTTAAAGCATCCAGATTGGCGGTTTGGGCATTTCCAAGTTTTCAAGTGTTTTTTGACCATCATAATCTTTGTTTTTAACTGCTTTTGGCTGTTGCCTTCTTTGTCTTTGGCCATCCCCATTTTTGGTTTTTGGCCATCCCCATTGGGTGTCCACACCTTGGATTTCAATGATTTTTGGCCTTCTCGTTTTTGTGGTTGCGTTTGGTCGTCAACATCATGGTTTCGGCCATCATCGTTTTTGACGTTTTTGGACATCATAATCTTTGTTTTTGGAGCCTTTTGGCTATCGCCGAATGTTGCTGTTGCTATCCTAGTTTTTGGCCTTCGCCATTTGGGCGTCCCTATATTGGTTTCAATGGGTTTTGGCCGTCTCTGTCTTTGGCCATCAGCATCATGGTTTTTAGCCATTGCCATCTTTGTTTTTGGCAATTTTTGGACGTTGCCTACTTGGTTTGTCGACAGTTTTTGGACTCACTTAGTGAGCCATTGCCATCTTGTTATTTCGGAACCAGAAGGTACACTAGAGGGCGAAAACAGAACTACAACCGAACGCTGAAGACAAATCTTACAATTAACTTTTATGAATTGAACATTTTAAAGTTTTAAGACAAAAACATGTTCAACACTGTGTAAGCAGCTTGTCTACCACCTTAAAGCAAACCCTGCTATAACAAGAAGTTGCATGTAAGAAAACCACAGAAACAAGTTGTTAGCAGCACTTGAACGTACCACCAATGCTGCTGAATTAGCATGTTCAAACTGTTGTTGTTGAAACCCACCGGACACAGTGATGTTGACGCTGTTGCTGCACCTTCCTGCCTCAGACTCACACCAGTAAACCCCAGAGTCAAAGCTGTAAAGGTCCCCAATAACAAAGTGGTAGGGGGTTTTTCGGTCGGGGGAATTTGTACAATCTTCATTTGTGTTTTTAGATGTGTTCCTCTTCACTTTCCACTCAGAATAGTTTCCCTCACAGCTAAAAGAGACAGACTCGTACCCAAAGAACTGGGATTTGTTGGGCAGGACTTTCAGAGTGGCTGCAAGGAAAGAAAAAAGAGATTTTAAAATTGTAATTGCACCTCACCAGAAAACAGTTTTGCAGAAAAACTAAATTTAGATGTTCGATAACCCTCCTCACAAGGTCTTTCTTTTTGTTTCACAACGGATGTTATTCGAGCAATAAGCGAGGCGTCAATGTGATCAGAAACAAACCTCTTAGCTGCGTTCACTGTCAGGTAATATTGTCACGGTAATTTTGTTTAGTATATTCTCTATTTATTACAACACAATTCCCTCTCGGTCTGAAATCAGCCAGATCTGCAGCTTCAGATCACATTGCATTTACCTGCTTTCACATGTTGGCCTGAAACCACATCGTTTTGAAGACAAAGCTGCATCTTGCACATCTCTGCCGAGACTTTGACAGAAGAACATCTGGACATTAAAGGTCATAAATGATTTTAAGGTGATGCAAACATAGGAAACCACATGAGGAAAGTGTGAAAAGTAGTTTATCAAAGCTACAATGCAATGAGGTAGAGCTGCGTAAAGATGAGGATAATTCACCTTTGTTGGATAAAAGCATTTCTGTTGATTGCTGATATATCATTTTGAGTATTATTCATTACAGATTATTCCCTCATTTAGTTTCCGCTGTGAAGATGCAACAGACAGTTTCATGAAGCAAGGATAACTTTTAAATAAGAGAAAGTAAATAACAAAACGTATAGTAGTTCAAACTATGCATACTTAAGACAAAGAAATAAAGAGATACAATCGTGCAAGCGACTTTACGCTGCTTGTAAAATGCAGGAATTGGCGAAAATGTACATATTACACTTTACATTTTCTGAGTTATTTGTCCTATGATATTGTATTATGTGTATATTATTGTAAATATTCAATTTAATTGTTTAAATTGTATACAAGTAGATGTTTAAAATAGTTCTATATTTGGTCTTTCATTACATCTTAATTCCAAAGCAGATTCCTTGACACTCAGTCTCAGTCACTCAGTCTGCAATAAATCTGATTCTGATGATACGTAGAACACGATAAATAGAATACATACTGTTTACTGTAATGATATATAATCTACTCACCGAGCACCGAGCACAGTGTGGTGAGCTCCATGCTGACTGGCTGACTCTCATCATACAGTCACAGTTGTATTGAGGGGCAGCAGCTTCCTGCTTCTCTCTGTGTGAGATCTGTCACCACAGCCTCCATTTTATCTGTAGTTGTGTTACATTTAAAAAAAAAAAAAGAACTACAGAGATTGTTATCTTTTATAATCTGATTTTCAGCATTAGCATCTTTATTATAAAACATCACTCTTTATATTGTAATATTCATATTTTCTCATTTTTACTGTTAAATAAAAAGGTGTAGTGCCGAGAGAAGGGAGACGGAGGCGGTGCATCGGAGGTGCAAATCTCTTTATTGGGGAGCAGAAACTGACATGCTGTCGGGTCGAAGCCGCAGAAGAGAAGAGAAAGTGAAAGGGACACACACACTAGCCTCATCCCAATACCCCTCCTCGACTCCTCTCTTCCCCTCCTCCGGGACTTGACCCGGAAATCGATCAAGACACGCCATGTTGAAGGACGTCCCAATAGCTGAAATGCACACGGAGGAGTCGAGGAGGGGTGAGGGAGGAGGGGTGCGGGAGGAGACGAAAGAGAGCAGACTACGCGGAAGTGTTTTCACTACTCGCGTATAAAAGCCCCGCCCCCACCTTCACAGCTGGTTGATTTCAAGAGAGGAAAACGGAGAACTGGTAGAATGAGTGGAAAAGCGTCACATAAATGTATAAGTGCTCACAGCTCCGTGGGAATTATTATGTGCAATTCATTTCTTAAGGTTATATTAACAATTTAAGTCATGTTTAATGATCTTGAACGTCACTAAAACATAGCTATTAAGAAAGCTATTTCATAAATGGCTAGATCTTGATAAATAACAATTATTTGTTTTGTTTTGTGTTAAGATATTCAGGAGTTAAATTATTTAAAATTCACAGTCCTGAATGTGGGTTTGTGGTGAATGTGGGGATCTACAGGACACACATTTTCCGAGTAAAGGCTTTCACATTATTATAATTATATTGAAATGTACATTTTACACCAAAACGGAACACAAAAGCAGGACCAACCATCATACATTGAATTCCTTGACTAACAAGAGAAAGATTCATCATTTAAATAAATATTTAACAACAAATGGGCCGGTTCTAAAGGGTTATTCAGTTAAGCCCGATGAGAGGGGATACAGCTGTGCACATGTCATCATTAACAGACGTCGTTTAAGAGTGACGTTTGAGTGAACGAGGACATCCCAATTAATACCTGAGGACTCCTCTGTCCTCGCGTCACCGCCTCGTGTCTCTCGCTCGCATCTTACGGAGGCGGAGCTAAGACGCAAGGAAGGGACGCGAGTGAGGGAAAGGAGGGTTGCATTCGAATAGTCCATTTAGCTTAGGAACCTTCCTAACGGAGTGAAATGACCCGGAAGTCCCTCAGTGGCAGCCATGATAAGTGCCGTTCGAATTCTCTAAATTAAAAGGAAAGGAGGTTTCAAACTTCCTTTATAACCTCCTTTAGCCTAGGAACCACTGGACCTCCCTAACCGAAAGGAGAGGAGAAAATGCTGCCCCACAATGCCTTGCGGCCGCAGCATTTGCCGTCACACAACAGTCGGCCGTTCACGGAAACAACCGATTATGAACGAGAAATGATATCGGTATAAAGTTACGGTGCTTATTAAGCAATTTAAAACGTATGTGGTAAGTTGCCAAAGTGCTTTGTTTTGAACGTTCATCAGTATTATAATCAAAAAGAGAAATATGAACGTTAGTTTTTACTGAAATGATCAAATAAAGTCAACATTTCACAGTCTTTACTGAGCTGTGTGGGGTTTGTTCAACTTTTAAAAGATGTTTGAATGGTGATATACACAGTGATAGATGTTAAGGACTAACGTTTATAATAAATACATTTGTATTGATTTTAAGATCTTTTCATACAATCATACGTATTGGGATCATTTGTATTAATGTGGACCGGAGGGAGAGGGTGACGAGCATAAGTTTCACTTTCCTTTTTTATTTCAATTCCAACTTTGGTCATGAAGAATGTGTTTCTCTGTTGTCCCTGTTCATAAAGCATAAAACAACAGCATCAGAGCACGGTGCAGAGTCTCTAGATGAGTTTACAGTAGTCCCTCGTTCTTATTAAACATCCATGTTGTAGTCCGCTGTATAGAAAACTGTAGTTTCCATAGTTTCCCCACAGCAGCAGGCGCACATTTATGACCTCCGCTGGCGCATCATAAACACGTCGGATAGTGAAAGTGCAGTCGGATTCTCTAAAGTGCCGCAGTCTCTTCTCCTAAATCCTTTTGAATTCTCCTATCCACTATCCCTTAACCCCATGACGTTTCACTCCGAGGTCAAGGAATAGACGATAGGGTTAGAACTTAGGAGCTGTTTTTTTGGAGTATTCGAACGCAACCGAGGAGTCGAGGAGGGGTATTGAGATGAGGCTACTGTAGGTACCCCGGAGGTACCGTCAACATATATGTCCGGGCGGAAACAATACCCCCAACCTGTAGTTCCATGCGTGAATTATGTACCCTAGTTAAATAGTGGTCACTACAAAGGTATATTTTATCTCTTTTTTGTTCTTAATATATATATATTTGTAATCATCTTTTGTTCGATTTAGGATTTTAAATATTGATTGTAATATAACTTTTTTTTATCATGTTTATTGTTGTAGTACAACCGGATTTAAATTCAACTTTAAGACAAAACCGATCATTGATTTCGATTTACATTGTTTAATTGTTGCGTTTGTGACCGTAGTTGGGCTCCTAGAAGAAAGAAAAAAGGTCAAAGTATTGTTAGTTATTTGATGTGATGATCAGCGAAACCCCAGAAAATAATCTGTATTTACCACCAGTGACATGACAGAGAATTGTTTAGGTATTTCCCATAGGTATTTCCCCCAAAAAGGGGCGGGACCATGACGTAGAGTGAAAGTACCCGGAGGTTCTGCCAGTGTTGGCCGGACATGAATTAAAATGTCGAACTCGGACTTCATTTTAAGGACATTTCGGCCAGAGGTGTAGAGCTATATTTGTTTAAGCACCGGATTGGCAAAACAGGAGAGTGTGTGTGCACCAGTCTGCCTTGATCTATGAATTCATGTCCGTGACACTCACAGTATCTGCTGCCCATGCTGTTTTATAGAAGGAAAACCTCCTTCACTTTATGAAATCTGTGCAGCACCAGGAGGCAGCGGGACGGTTAACTCAGCCCCTGAGAAGAGGAGCGCGCAGTGACTTTCACGCACCGCCTTCACTGTGTTTACCTTCAGAAAGAATAATTAGAAAGGCTAAAAGCGACCGCAGGCTGATGTGTTTTAACCACACACACCTCTACACACACACACACACACACACACACACACACACACACACACACACACACACACGATTTAAACGCAGACTTTTGTTCCTCTATGTTTCGTTGTTATTGTTTCACTGAGCGGACCCGCGAAACGCTCCCTTTTTTGGTCCATCTGCGGCGGTAATAGGTTTTGTGCGCTGTGATGATTCGGCTGTACCTTTAGTAATGAATATTAAATGTTGTGAGGAAATCTTTCCACCAATAATTCCAATAAATAATCCAAAATGTATTCACTTCAGGTTTACGAAAGTAACTGTAATCAGATTACTCGTTTTTCAAATGTAACACGAGCTGAATACAGTTACTTGATTTTTGTATTCTGATTACGTAACGCCGTTACATGTATTCCGTTACAACCATAGACTGTATATATAAAGGTTACAACCCAACCCTGTTAACACGTTGTCATGCTAATAAAGCACCTTTGTATTGTATTGTGATTAGGGAGCGGTTTGGAACTGGGCCAAGGAAAGCAAGTGGAAACTGACGCAGGTCACGCAGCCAGTGACGCTGTGACGTGATATATAACGACGTACTGGAAACACGTCTCATTCATTCATTGAGTGGCAGTGGAGAGATTTCTACTTTTAGACTTCAAACAGAGAGTTTTTATGGTTCATTTCGGGGTTTTCGTGCTGGGCTTCTCTTTAGCTTTCTGGAGCTTCACGGCAGGTCACACAGAGGATAAAGGTAAGCTCCATTTATTGTTTCGCTTTTTATTCATTCAAGTCAACGGACGTTAACGGCTGTCAGAAGATAACTTTTAAAGACCACACAAACCGACATATATCGTTAAACTCCTGTCAAACAGCGTCTGTGAGTGTAGAGCGGACAGTTACGTGTTTAATAAGTTATTTTGTTATATCATTTTAAGTTTCTCTTATCGACTCTAACCGCTCCTTTTTCTTTTTGAATGGACCCACGTGCTCATAGTCATAGCATGGCTCACGGGGAAAATATGTACGTGCGTGATGTCATCTTTTCATTGTAATACGATCTCCTAATTTTGTTGATGTGATTTTATTTCTATGTTATTATGTTAACATGCCAGAGTCTATAATAAGTAAAAGTCCTCACTCATTGAGAGTGGTACTGAAGTAAAAGTATTTAAGTATCTTCAGGAAAAAGTATAAAGAGTAAAAGTACTCATGGCAACTACTCAACTTATTGTTTCCAGTGTACTGAAATGAAATGTTTGGTTGTTTAATGTACCTGAAAGCATCATAGTTTATCCAGTTTGTCGAGCAAGTTATAATATCAACAAATGTAATATCTGACTCATCTCCAGATTCATACAGTGACTCAGCAACACCATGACTGTTTAATGAAAGCTGATTCAATATGTGAGTCACAGCAGAAATCAGTCTAGACTATTCTAGACTGATTTCAAGACTCAAGAGATCATTTATTTCCCTGAGGGGGTGTTAACAATAATTAGACCCAGAACTGACGTAGTGTTTATTTTCAAACTTAAATCTTTGGAGCCCAGTATGCCCACAAAATACAGTCCAGACTCAACTCATACTGAGTTTTGTGACCATAAATCAACCACTTGAAAATGTTTTTGTTCTGCTTCTTAAATATGAACATTATCTGCACAAATCCAATGGAGAAATCCCATTGGACCAGGGAGATGCTGCCCCCAGAGATACTTCATCCTTGCACCGCTGTATTTAGCAGCAAGATTATAGTTAATCAAAAATAAGACTTGACTCCTATTTTTTAAGGTTTATATTTCCCCTCTGTGTTTTGGATCGTGATTGGTCAGACGCTGAGAGATGTCACGTACAATGTGTTGAAGTACTAGCCAATAGGAGCACGAGTGTTTATATTTACAATAGGTTTATATTTCCCCTCCGTGTTTTTCAGGGCGTCATCTGGTTGGACCACGACAGCCAATCGAGGCCTCTGAGGGCGATGACGTAATCCTCCTGTGTTCTGTGTCGCCCGACTATAACGTTGAGGATCTGACCGTGGAGTGGTCCCTTCCCGACCTGAAGCCCGACCCCTCGGACCGCCTCAGCCGCGTCGAGTACGTCTTTGTGTACCGGAGGAGGAGAGAGGAAGTGGACATGAAGCTGCAGAAGTTCGTCGGGAGGACGGAGCTGTTCGAGGACGAGCTGAAGGTCGGAAACATCTCGTTAAAGATCAGCAACGTGACGCTCGCTGACGCCGGAAAATACCGATGTTTCATCCCAAAGTTAAAGGGCCGCGTGAAGGAGGCGGTCGTACGACTCGTTGTTGGTGAGAAGATTAAGATGTTTGTTTGTAATGTTAGCGCTGCACTATTTTTGTAGCTGCTTCTTCTTCTTAATATATATATATATATAATATATAAAGACATATAAATGTGTCTGTTGATTGTCTGTGTAGGATAAACATTTTTGTGTTTTTGTATTCGGGATTGTGGAAACGGTATTTCGATGTCTCTGTCTGTACACACAAACTGAAAGATTGACAATAAAGTTGACTTTGACTTTGATATTGTTCTGTAAATAATAACAAATGTTTTTTTTAGAACCCAGAGCCAACATCACGTTGACGACAGAAACACAAACGAGTTCGCAAACTCCAGATCCAAACCAAGAGACGGATGTTAAAGGTGAGGAAAAAACAAAAAGTCTTAAATAAATGAAGGTGTGATTTTATTTATTTTTGTTACTGAATATTTCTCTGTTTTTCTTGTTTTGACATCAGTTGGTCAGCCTCCACTGTGGATCCTGGTTCTCTCCGTCTGCATCATACTGCTGGCTGCTGGAGCTGGAGTTGCATATTTCCTCATAAAAAGATGTGTAAATCGGGAAGAAAACAAAAAGTTTGAATGGTGATGAAACCAATTCCTGCTTCGCTGCTCAAATTGGATTTGAAGAAGGAATCTAGAAGACACCCTAAAGACAGGTTTGTGGAAAGAAGAACATCCTGCAGGACGTTAGAGGAACTTTAAATCTCTGAACAGATGATCAGTCACTACATTAGAGGACATCGACTTCATGGCAGCGCTGCTTTAAGTGTATTTAACTTTATTCCACTGAGAGACAAAAGGAATGATATTTGTTGCACTCCAACCTTTTTTTTATTGTCCCTCGTCCTCTTCTTGCCTGAAGGAGTGTATATTTACAATATACATGTTTTTTTTACTATATTGTCCCACAGAACAGCGATGCCTGTTGCACTGAATGATTGTGGGTTCAAACGTCCTCGTCTAACAAGTTTTTGCACTTAAACTAAATTGAATCAGGATGCACCTCACAAAGTACTTCTAAAGTAGGGTTTAGCATTCAACGTTAGCTTGTGTTAAACACAGCTTGCTAAAATCTCACCTGTGAACGTATGTAATACTATATCTGCCTGTTGGATTGGTGATTATTAACGAACATAACACTTCCAAAAGCAATAATCTATGTTGATACAATTCGAAAATATTGTGAATGATTAAGACGATACTAAATGTACATCATTCAAGTGACGCGATGAATGTTTATAAAGAAAAGAAAGGAACAATTGAAACGTTCTATAAATGTGAATGTGGTTGCTGTTATTACATTTATTAATGTGCAGCAAGGAGAGCAAACTTTATATGGAAATCATTTCAAAATGTTGTTATTTATTATTTTGTTAAGGTCTTTTTTACAACCAGGGGAAACGGATAAATGTTCCCTCCTATTGAAGCGGATTATATTCTGTAAAAGTGTTAAAACTGTGAATATGATGTTTTTTTAGGATATGTTGTTCTGCTATTTTGTATTTTTTTTTTATAAAGACTGATTGTAAAACCATATGGAAGGTATTTAATTAATTAAAATGCAGTTTCAGCACACTGTTCATAATGAAGAAATGCTTCAGTTAAATGTGTCTGTTCTGTTTTAGCACTGAATAAAAAAGAAACCGTGGCATTCAAAGAGGAATGTTTGTTCCTCTAGGGGTCTTCAGAAAATGTTTGCAAGTGTTTAAACTGGCATGCATGCTGCAAATAAACACTTATTTGAACACTACAGTGTGTCTGCTGAGTCTTTACATAAACGTTGAATGACACTGAGTTTTATCCATCCCATAATAACACTATGCATTACGTTAATGCGCATCATGGGAACAACATCTTGTTCTTTTTTAAATGTGTAAATCCTGCACATCTCTGCTCCATGCTACCTCTTTGAAATCAGCACAACTCTCCACTTAAATACTGTATATTGTCATATTTTATATTTTACTGCATTCAGTTCCCCACATTATTATTATATTTTGTGTAAATATTGTCTTTATTAATATTTGGTTACGTATTCTTCTTCCTGTGTCTTTGAATGCAGCACTTATAACAAAGCTAATTCCTCGTGTAAATACTTAACACAAAAAGTAAGAACATTTGTGTTTGGTAGATAATGTCTTTGTTGTAACAACGCTTTTTTGGCAATAAGTCATACCGTTGGAAAGCCTGTTATCTGACCTTTCCAATGGTACCACATTTGTGAGGAACAAGCATTTGTGGGATGAGCAGCATGGTCTGGGTTACGCCCATGAAAAATGTGACAAATCTCCCCTGCCAATGCCAAACAGCAGCCACTCTACGGCGGCCAGGAGGCCGGCCAGGACTGCCTTCACCTTCCGTTCTGCCTACAGCACCAGTATGGGGTTAGATTTGTCTCAATATTTGTGTGAACATAAAAATTATTTGTGTGTAAATGTGTGATTTGTTAATGTAAAACACCTTCCACAAATGGATTCAAAAGATTTGCCAACTAAACATTTGTTTTTGCAAATGTAAAACGGATCTGCAAATACGCAAAATGTTTTCATAGATAAAAAAAAGATCTGTGAATACTATAATTCATTTACAAATAAACGCAAGGAATTTGTGAGTCTCTCTAACACTGACAACTTTCGAGTAGGCATGAGGCTCCGCGAGGTGAGGCCCCACACAGTCTGCGTTATCTGCGTGTAGGGCGGGGCGGGCCTGTATAACCCCATACACTTTGGTTGTAGGGTCAAATTGCGGAAAACGCCTCAACCCCATTGAACACTTGCGGGTCAGCTTGGACGGCTGTGCAACAAAAAACAAAAATGGGCGGGACCATGACGTAGAGTGAAAGTACACGGATGTGCTGCTCTCATCATGGAGAGACCACAGCATGGCACACTAACCCCATTCCAAACCGCCCCCTACCCACTCCCCCTCCAACAGAGTGAACTCCGTCAGGGTCTCTCAGCAGTGTTAACCTGTTACGCACCATCCGCCCGGTACCGGGCGGATAAATGCGTCATTTGCAGGAAACAACGTCTAAGGAATCTTAATATTTAATAAAACTATGAATGTTTTATATCCATGTAACGGGAAGAAACTCAGCTAACTGATCTTTTTAAAAAAAAAAATCCAAAAAAAACCCACAATGCTAACACTCAGCCTCTGAATTATCCACGGGCGAAAAAATGTAACCTAAAACAGCACTTAAACTCACAATAACTCCCTTATTACTTATCCTAGATGCACAGCCAACCACTCATTTTTGGTGTCCTGGAGACATTGAATCTAGTGGTGCCCACCTCAACACTCAGTGATAAACATTTGCGACGCTATAAACGAAAGCGTACATCATAACATGTGGAGCTAGGTAGCTAGAAACGCTAACATGGCTTACCTTGGTCAAAACTGGTCTTCAATGGCATTAAAACGATAAAAACGATGCTGCAGTTAATCCATAGGTTAATCCAATGTGTCTGTGTCCTCTTTGAAATGATTTCTGATAATCCATAAGCAATAAAACTGCTTTTTCGTTTCCAAATGCCAGAGCTAGAATGTAGCTCCACTCTGCTTTACATTTACATGCGCACAGCCCCCACCTTTTCTCTTCACAATGAGTGTGTATGTGGGCCTCCCCCTTCGATTCTATTGGCTCTAACGGTCAGAAAGAGGTGTCAACCATCAAAATCGACCAAGGGGGGCCAGAGATATAGAAAAAAAAACATTTTCACCCAAATCACCTCAGAGGTGGGGTGGTTTTGGCTAAACCTCTCTTAAAATGGTCAAATGTCACTTGTTTTGCATCAATCTTGATACAGGGTACTTATTATATGTTGTACTTTGGATTCCTAAAGCTTTTAGTCTACTAACCCATCATCCAAGGGTAGTTTTCACTATCTGTAAAAAATAATTTTTGGACGGACACTATAATTTACAGGTTTTTACTATGTAAAATCTGAATTTTCTTTAAAATAAAAAACATTTATATTGATTCTGACACTTCTACATCCAACTCACAGATGTAACCTTGCTTTGATAAAAGAAATTATTCATATAACCCTTTTAGAAGTTAAGTTGTAGTCATTTGTTTTGGGCATGTCATTTTCGAGCCTGAAACATGAAAAACAGGCTTGGTGCTTAACAGGTTAATAAATACATCTGATGTTATAAGCTCCTTAGTTTTTGAAACAGTCCCATACAAAATATTTATAATATATTATAATAAATTGGACACGTTTTCTAGACTAGACATGTATATGATCCTAAGTAAAACAAATATGAGGTAACCATGAAGTTGTAAACATGACGCGAACGGAATGAACATGTATGTTTAACACGTGAACGTGATCATGCTACTAAAGCACCTTTGTTTTGTATTATGATTAGGGAGCGGTTTGGAACTGGGCCAAACGAAAGCAAGTTGAACCTGCTGGGCTGTGACGCGGTGACGCTGATAAAGAAAGACGTAGTGGAAACTGTTGCGTGAGACATTATATTCAGCAGAAGTCTCCACGTTTGCAGTCAACCAAAGTAGTTTGTAAGTATGTTACGGACAGAAAACACACACGACCACATCGCTCAGAGTTTGGCCTGGAGTACGGGCCGTTTATTGAATCTGCGCATGCTCATTAGCATGACCACGTTTCTTTCACTCAGGCACATTCTGATGATGTCATACACATGAACTGAAACATGACTTTGTTCTTATACAAATATGCTTAACACTCCCACTCAAAGACATGTTAATAACTCTCTACAGTGGTACACAGAATCCAAATAAACAAAAAAAAACTTCTCTAGCAGTGTTCAATTTTTACACCTGCAATTCACATTACTCTCCAAACAAATACCATTTGAATTTGTCAAATTTTGCCTTTGTCAAAATGTAACTTTTGCTCGCATGGAGTTGACCTTGGTTTGCACTCTGACATGCCAAACCTCTCTAGCATCTTTGCTATGTGTCTCTTTTGGCTCATTTTGATCTCCCCCTCACTCTGTGTAAAGTCGATACCTAGGAAGTGTTTAAGTTCACCCAAATCTTTCATTTTAAACTTCCTCTTCAACATCTCTTTGACATCACTGAGTGAGCCGTTGTTATTGGCTGCTATGAGTAGGTCATCTACCCATATCAACAGAATAACTCTTTCGTTCTCAGACTCTTTTCTGTAGACACAATGATCAGCATCATTTTGCACAAACCCATTCTCTGTAAGATGATCATGCAGTAACTTGTTCCAGTTCCGCCCGGATTGCTTTAAACCATACAATGACTTGTTGAGTTTGCACACTAAGTGTTCCCCTGTTTTAGATTTTACCTCAAAACCTTCGGGCTGTTCCATATATAACTCGCAGTCTATTGGTGCATGGAGATAAGCTGTCTTCACATCCATTTGGTGTAGGATAAGATCATCCTGTATAGCCACCTGCATCAATGTACGTACAGAAGTCATATTTGCTGTCGGTGAAAAAGTTTCCTTGTAATCAATTCCCTCTACTTGACTATAGCCTTTAGCTACATATCTGGCTTTAAAAATCTCAGATCCATCTGGGCTTTCCTTTACTGCATATACCCAACGACCTCCCACTGCTTGCTTGCCTTTTGGCAGTGTGGTCAGACTGAAGGTCTCATTCTCTGTTAAAGAGTTAATCTCCTCTTTCATTGCATCAGCCCACATTTTTGATTTCTTAGAGCCTACAGCCTGCATGTATGTTTTGGGTACGTCACAAGCAACTCTGTACATTTTCACCTTCATCATTACAATCAGCCTTACACTGATACTCCAATAAATATTCTGGAGCGTTTCTTTGTCTAGTGGGATAGCGTCGTGCACTCTCTCCCTGTTCTCTTTGAGTACTATCTGTCTGGATCTGACTAGCCTCAATATTCTCCTCACTATCGGACTGTACACCCACATTAGGCTCTCTCTGATTCTGGTTGACCATTTTTGTCCCTGCTGGTGTTGTGGGAATAATTTCTCCATAAGTGTCATCATCCATATTACGATTTGTCTGAGTCTGACTATCTGCGCTACTCTTTGTGATACATTTTACCAGCCTATGTTTCAGGACTTTCCCTGTCTCAGGATAAAATACTTGGAATGCTGGGCTATATTTGTCGTATCCTACAAAAATACCCTTTGCACATCTAGAATCTAGCTTCTTTTTATCCTGCTTATACCCGTAGCATTCAGAGCCAAATATTTTCATGTTGGACAAGTTGGGTGTTTTGCCAGTAAAAACACGGTATGGTGTCTGCTCTAGACGCTTACAGTAACACCTGTTACGTATCTG